GAAGTGGTTGCAATATTTATTGTTACTTTTGTAGGAAGGACAAAACTGTCTTTCCACCTCATTCTCAATTCAATTTGTGGTACTTTTTATAAGACATCAAAATAATGGCGATTTTCACAAGAAATTGTTTGTAAAATGGCATTTTTTGTAAAATTCTCATAATCAAAATTGTGGAACCCAGTGTGGCCCTGTGCAAATGCCTTGTTAGCACACCCCTAATGTCGGGCCAGGTGGGAATCAGAGCGACTTGTTGGTAAACCTATAGGAAGGGCCGACCATAAGCCAAGGCCAGTGAGGCTTAAGCCTAGGGCTTCCAATTTTTTTCATTTTTTTAATATGAGCAAAATGCCCGGTTTTTGTGTTCTATTCATCAAAGCGCCTTCAAAGCCATCTCGAAGACGTCTCCCTGTGACAGCTTTGAGAAGTTAAGGCATATTTAGAGACGTCGCTGGTCTTAGTTCACTCTCGAGAGAGCTCAGGATGTCCAAGTTGTTATCTATATATGTTTTTCACGTCAGTAGATAACCATGCTTTTTTAAGCGGTAATTTCTTGCTTTTTGCAGGTTGTTTGGAAAAGAAGTTTTGGAAAGCTGAAATGGGTCTACTCGATCAAATTTCTGGCTATACTCCAAAGCCAATTGTCCATACTCAACCACCGACAGAGGTTAAGGTCGAAGCATCAGAGCAATTGTCCACCGAGCTGGTCCCTTGTACCTCCAAAACCACTATGGTTTCGAGCGAAGAAGATGTCATCGAAGAGGCGCTACTCATCGACTAGAGACGGTTGAGAAAGAAATATAAAGACAGTTCTCAGAAGACATCCGAGAAGGACGCTTTTAAGACTGATTCGACCAAAATGAAGAAAGCCGAGATGATAAAGCTCAAGGTGAAAAAGCTCTAGCGGATGAAAAAGCTCAAATCTAGGGAAACCTCTCCTTCGCCTTGCACTACGTCCAACCTCGAAAAGAGTTGGACGTACACCTATTTGGGAAAAGTCTTACCTTTCACCTGCGATCCGGTGGCCAATGCCGAGCTTCATAGGACGGTTGGCGGATCTTCTCGTAGGCTTCCCGAGGTAAGGGACATGATCTATCCCGACGCTTATGAGGGTGTTGCTTACGACATAGTGAGGGTAAGTTATGTTCATCTTAGTGTTTGCTGGCATCTTTTGGTTTTATTATATATGTTTCTGATAATTTTATCGGTGAACCGCCTATTATGAGTACACGGTTGAGATATATGAAGGAGAAGGGCCTTTGGGCCAAGGTGGATAGGCCTAGGGTGGCCTTGGTCGAGAAGCAACTTTACCAGGAAGGGCAAAGAGCCAAGTGTTGGATATTGGAATGATATGTCGTAGCTCGTGAGCAAGAGCTTAACAACTACATCGATACGAACGTGGCCGGTCTCGTATCCTTTAAATCTGTTTTATGGTCATCCTTTAAAGCTGACCAAAGAAGATTAGGGGGCTAGAAAAGTCAATAATTTGATAAACTCTTCACCACTATCGTCAAAGACTTGGGTTGTAACTCTCCACTTATATATCAATATTCTCTCTTCAAACTAAATCAAGTTTTTATACGTGACTCAAACGAATAAAAACTAACATAAGGGAGTTTTTTTTCCTCCTTTTTTTAGTCACAAACACACTATAAAACTTGATCATCCAAATACATTACATGTATCCGTAAACTCATATGGCATCAGGGAGTATATGCAATCCAAATTCTTGTTGTATTTGATATGTCAAGTTCTTGTTGTATTTGATAAGTTCTAGGGGAAAATAATCATTTAAATCCTCAAATTTAATCCCCAGGTTGATGTTGAATATGCAAAATTGGGCTTGAAAATGGTCAACGTTAACTAAGAAACGCAGACGTAATCTTTGGATTTTTTTAACCCAATTACAAACTTAGGAGTTAATTTATTGGGAGATCTAGGAGATCGGCCATCAGGGTCGTGCCTACCACGTTATTAAAAAGCCATTCGTCTAGGACCCTGAATAATATTGTATAATTTTAAGGCCCCATTTTCTTAGAAGTTTATTAAAATCTAGTGATAAAATAAAGTAAGATAGTTTTTTGAGATTCTCATCTCAAGTTCAATACCACTTTCATGCTAAAACAAGAGTTTATTTTTTCTTAGTAAATTTCATTATATTTTTATTGGCACTATAATAATTATTTAGAATTAAATTATAACTATTGTTAAATTTTATGTGAAGAATTTTTTTTTTTAAATTTGCCTCGGATCCCTGAAAGGCGGGCACGACACTGTCGACCATATCAAGATTATGGAAATTATGAAGAATCAAGAAAAATCTGGAAGAATATCCAAGAATAGGATATGATTAACCCAAATTTAATTTGAAAATATTATATTAGAGATAATTGTGAAGATAAAATTTTGTCTTCACATAATTTTATCTTCAGGTAATTTACCAACAAAATTTTGAGAAATTAATCTGTGAAATTGTAAAACTTGAAGAGTTAAACGATCACTTTCATGTATTTATTAACAACAGTTAAAAAAAAAATATATTAGATTTCCCATATATTTTTAATATATAATGTAACCCATGATTCTTAAATAATAAAATTTAATTTAAATATTATAGGTCTCAAAAATAGATTCAAAATTTCAAAAAATATACAAAAAATTCTAAAGAAATGTTATAGATATCAAAACTAAACATTAGACAATGTTTATAATTCTTGAAATCATCTTTAGGTGTAACGCCTTGAGCTATTTGTCATAAATTTCCCTTGGTTAATCTGGAATGTATAGATATATCACATTTCTTGAATAAATGTGTCGTTGCTTTCGTTCTTTAATAGGTTCCAGGGAGGCTACTTGGATAATCCTTCTTTGTAAACCGATATATCCCCTGAAAGTGTTGATGAAGATCCTTGAAGAGGTGGTGTGGGAATTTGCAAAACAGGCCGAGGAGGGACTTCAAGAGCATCCAAGCTTCCTTCCATCATCTCTACAACTCTGTTCATGGATGGTCGATTTGATGGATACGACTGAATACACCATAGAGCCACCAAGATCATCTTCTTTGTGATATCTTCTTCTTCTCTGGTTAGTTCATCGTCAAAAAGCTTACTGTGTTGTCCATCTTCAAGATCCTTATAGATCCAATCCGGGAAATAAACCGAGCTAGTATTTGAAGCAGCGTTTTGGACTCTATCTTTATTCGTTGCACCGATCATCTCAAGAACCAACATTCCATAGCTGTAAACATCCGACTTGTGAGACACACTTCCATAAACTCCGGAGATCATTTCTGGGGCAATGTAACCTATTGTTCCTCTTGTGTCCAGCAGCGACATGATGCTCTCTTTCTTCTCGCAGAGCTTAGCGAGGCCAAAGTCTGAAACTTTGGGGCAAAGGTTGTCATCCAACAACACATTTTGATCATGAGGTTTAATGTCGAAATGCACAATCCTTGTTTTGCAGCCATAGTGCAAGTACTCAAGACCACGAGCAACTCCTAGTGCAATCTCGTAAAGCCGCCTTCTCCATTCTGCACTTGACGAGGCCTTTGTTGAGATATACTGATCCAAAGACCCATTCTCTAGAAAGTCATAAACAATCACTCTTTTGGATCCTTCATAGCAGAATCCAACCAAAGAAACGATGTTAACATGAGAAGTTTGGCTCATACTAGCGACTTCATTGATAAAGTCCTCACCATTGCTCTTAGAGTCCTTCAAAACCTTTGCTGTGACCTTACGACCATCAGGAAGGTTTCCTTTGTAAACAGTTCCAAACCCTCCTTTCCCAACTATGCAAGCAAATGACTTTGTAAACCTCTTCACTTCACTATACCGATAATGTTTCAGCGGAATAAGAGCCTTGAGGTTCTTTCTTCCCTGAGCATATGATGTTTTCCTCTTTCTGATGAAAAACGCTGAGACCCCCAACACCATGAGTATACTTACTATCAAACCCGCAACTAGAAAAAACAGATTATAGATTCGATTAGTTACTTGGTATCAAGAAATCTCAGGAGTCTGTGGCAATGTATCTAACCTATGAGCATCTTCGTGACCAAGGCTCGATTATCTAGAAAGCCGTCAAGAAAGAAGCTCCTCCTGTTAGAATCTCCGTATGGTTACCCCGAAAACCTCGGAAAATGAATTCTGTTGTTTTCTCTGTTGGTGTTATCTGAGCTTGAACAGAGACGTTCAAAACTTGGAAGAGCAGGAATAAGAGTGAGACCATAAATCGAGACATAGGAAATCAAGAACAAGAGATGATTATCGAGGTCTGGGGTTCACAAACGACTTTGTTATTAGAGTTAGCGGTTTAATCTTATTTCCGGTTGATCTATCTCTTAAACCGGATTGGTTATGTATAACAGATTGTATATAGCTTTGTAATTGAACATTGAATGAGAATAACAACCATAACAAACTTTATA